AAAGATGCTGTTGTGCCAAGTGAACGTGTCTCAGGTCTCAAGGTGAGAGGCTGCAACTCCTCAGAAATATTCGAACTCCCTCCTGCTTACACTAAAGACTGTATACCAGTTAACCGTTCTCACATTCCTTCTTGTGAAACAGCAAAACAATGGAATCATCTCAAGGTAATAGTGAATGAGATTCCTCCACAGCTAGAATGTGAAGTTGGACTTTTAATTGGATACAATTGTTCCAAGGCATTAGCTCCGAGGCAAGTCATCTYAGGAGAAGAGACTGAACCCTACGCTGTCCGCACAGCATTGGGCTGGAGTATTGTAGGCCCYACATCATCTCACGGTGACTCTTGTAGCATATCTGCTGTGTGTCACAGAGTCACAGTCAAAAAACTCCCCTTAATGACTCCAGCTGATGCACTAAAAGTTCTCGGATCTGACTTTAAGGATGATAATAAGGATAACAGATCAGTGTCTCAAGATGATATTCTCTTTCTGAATACACTAAAGGAAGGCATTTACAAAAACAATGAAGGACATTATGAAATGCCACTTCCATTCAARGAGAGACCTCTCTTGCCAGACAATAAGCAAATGGCCACTGTGCGACTTCAAAGCCTCAAAAACAAACTGTCCAAAGATCAAAGATACAAGGARCAATATGTGAAGTTTATGAGCGAAGTCATAGAAAAGGGTGATGCAGAGGAAGTTCACAATGAAGCAAAAGAAGGAAAAAAGTGGTATATTCCGCACCATGGAATATATCATCCCCAAAAACCAGACAAACTTAGAGTAGTTTTTGACGCCTCAGCAAAATACAAAGGTAACAGTCTCAATGATCATTTGCTGTCAGGCCCAGATTTGTTGAACAATCTGAATGGTGTTCTCATAAGATTCAGACGGCATCAAATTGCATTATTATGTGACATTGAAAAAATGTTCCACCAATTTCATGTGTATGAAGCAGATAGAGACTATTTAAGATTTTTATGGTGGAAAAATGGCAACCTGGACACTGAGCCTCAAGAATTTTGGATGAAGGTGCATCTTTTCGGTGCCACATCCTCACCAGGGTGTGCCAATTATGGATTAAAACATCTTGCAAAGGAAAACGAGACACAGTTTCCTCTTGCATCTCAGTTCATAATGAAGGATTTCTATGTGGACGATGGTGTAACAAGTACTACAAGCATYAAGGAAGCTATTCAGCTTGCCCAGGAGGCTCAGACGCTCTGTGCATCAGGTGGCCTCAGACTACACAAGTTTGTAAGTAATGACAAAACTGTGTTAGAAAGCATTCCAGAATCTGAACGTGCCTCCCCACAGCAAGCATGTGACCTAGCATTTAATGACTCTAAACTTGAAAGAGCACTAGGCATTCACTGGCACATTGACTCTGACACACTCAGGTTTCGCTTTCGCACCAATGACCAACCTGCTACAAGGCGTGGCATCTTATCAATGGTTGCATCTCTGTATGATCCGTTGGGATTCATCTCACCCTTTGTACTCACAGGCAAAAGAGTGCTTTAAGAGACATGCAAACAAGGTACAGACTGGGATGATCACCTCCCCAGTGACTTAAGGCCTGTGTGGGATAACTGGAAAAATGACTTGAGGAACTTAGAGAAAATCACAATACCACGCTGTTATGTTCCTAAAGACTTTGGCCAAATAGTGAAAACAGAGTTGCATC